GTTGATCGCTTGGACCTTATCCGGAAGGGGTTTGATTCCACTACCGGTGACGATGTGGCCCAAAAATTGAACAGATGATTGTCCAAAACGGCACTTCGCCAGATTAATCCTCAACCCTGCCGATTGGAGACGCGTTAACACCAATCGCAAATGTTCGAGATGCTCTTCGAACGATGACGACGCCACTAAGATATCATCAATATAAGCAAACGAAAAATTGAAATCCGCCAACAGTCCATTTATCATACGTTGGAACGTCTGGCTTGCATTGCGTAACCCAAATGTCATAACTGGGAATTCATATAACCCAAATGGGGTTACGATTGCGGTTTTTGGAATATCCTCAGGGTTTATAGGTATTTGATTGTAAGCACGCTCCAGATCCAACGTCGTAAAATGTTTTTTTCCGCGAAGCATCCATTGCACGTCGTGAAGATGGGGAATAGGATACGCATCTGGAATCGTTGCCGCGTTCAACCTGCGGTAATCACCACAGGGTCGCCAATTACCATCCTTTTTTCGTACGAGATGTAATGGTGAGGCCCACGGTGAATTAGACGGGCGACAAATGCCCCGTTTAACCATAGATGCAAATTCTTTTTTCGCAGCATCTAATTTCTCGCCACTCAATCGACGCGGCTTGCAGCTGATAGGCGGGCCCGTGGTTTCGATATGATGGATAACCATTGTAGTAACCATTGGAGGCTTGATCGAGTCGTCAAACTTCTTTGGTTCGGTAAGTTCGATGAATTCGTCTACGATGGTAGCGAACGGATGTTCTAAATGCAGTGATGATAAGCCGATTCTCGTTTGATCCTTTCCAGTTCTACAAACGCAGGCACCTGTTACTCGATCAGTAATTTTGCCTTCCGAAATACTGACGTCGAGTTTAAAATTGTCGAGGAAATCGGCGCCAAGGATTGGTGTGGATGTGTTGGCAATAGTAAAACGCCAGGTGAATGTACGGTCAAATCCAAGCGAGATCGTCAAATCTCGAGTGCCGTATGTCCCAATTATTGTGTTGTTAACTGCAAGTAATTGCCCAGATTGGCTAGTCGGATCACCGTTCGATGAAGGAAACAGTGACAAATCCGCCCCAGTGTCCACAAGAAACGACTTGTGTGTTTGTGGGTCGTAAACGAACAGACGTTTCGATGAAAAGCAGGTGATGGTTGGGGGTGTAGTTTCCTGCACCCCCACTACTCGTTTTTTGTAACTTTTGGATAAGTGCAGTTTTCGCGGCCGTTTTTCGCCAGATCGCCGAATCTCCAATGATAAAAGCAATAGCCGTCATAATTATTTGACTCACCGTTTCGAGGACTCACTGGAGTCGCGTCACGGCTTCGTGTCCGAGACTCTCTACGTTTTTGATAGTATCCACTTCGGCCTTGATCGGTGTTACGACCACCACTTGTCACTAACCTTTCGATCATGTCAAACAGTTTATCAATTTTGTTGGCTTGTTGGTCTAAGCGTGTACTGAGGGAACGGTCTGCTGATCGTGAGCGGGAGCGTCCTAAGCGTGTACTGAGGGAACGGTCTGCTGATCGCGAGCGGGAGCGTCCAGGTTCTGATTTTCCTCCAATAGCACTGATGCGTGGCTTATGGTCTGCAGCTCCGTAATGTCGTGTGCCTTCCATAATTTTATCTGCTCCGTTAACTAGCTCGTTGATTGATTTTCCATCCTCGAAAGCCAACAAAGGAATTCGCAGCTGCTCGGGAAGGCGTTCAAGCCATAGTTTTTTTGCAAAATCTTCCGGGAAGCTAGGTGCTAATTGTTTCATACGACTCCAGAGCCAACTAGGCTTCTCGTCTCCTAGGGATAGACCCCTCAACACTTGTTCGTATTTTTCCAGTGGGCTATCAGTGAATTCTTTCAAAAGGGCGGCTTTCAATGATGGCCACTTCTTTTCATTCGGTGGGTTTTCAATGACGTGCGGAATTCGGATGATGACTTGCTCGTTGAGTGCCGAAAGCACGCTATAATATTTTTGCTCGTCATCTACAACACCGCATATACGAAATTCCGCTTCAACAGTTTAAAGCCATAATGCTGGGTTGGAGGTCCAGATTGGCTGAATTCGTGGTCGCTTACTTATCGATTCTATGTAACTAATTTGCGTTTCCTCTTTCGATGAATTTGGTGCCTGTTGTCGTGCGGAAAACGCCGTATTCGCCAGTTCTGTTAACGCTGACGAAGCTAGTGAGGTATTCGTCGTCATCTGAGGAATTAACTTTGGAAATGAGACAGAATTATCGACGTCCTGTCGTGTAGTGCCAACTGAATTTTCAATCTCTGCATCTTTTTCATGAACTAAATCTGTTTCGCAACTCTTGAATTGACGCAGACGATTTTGTAGATTGTCGATGGTTCTTTCTCTAATACGCAAAGCCAGTTCGAAGCGTGTTTCCAAATCCTGCATAGCTTGTTGCATTTGCTCCAATTGGACGTTGATATCGGCAGTCGGTGATGTCGATTGTTGAATCGTTTCAGTAATCACTGGCATAGTTGTCAGCATTGCCTCATTATCGTGTGTAACGTCGTTTTCGGGTATTGTGACGTCGGTGTTGTCGTATTCCACACTTCTAAGGGATTCCATCAAATTTGTTCGCACAATAGGAACGGAGGAGGGAGAGATTATATTACCACTTCTCAATTCCATGTAACAAATCCTAAAATTTACAGTGATGTAGTAATGTTAATCAAACGTCGGGATCACCAATGTGGGAATTCTTATATTTAACACTCCCAACACTAAATAACGATTTAAAATTTCTAATCAACTTTTATTTTTAATAACATTGACAACACTCATTTCTCAACGATTTTTTTATCCCTTGTTATCTCGTCGTCCTAGAAACAAGGATCATCGGTAGCGGACTACCTGGTCTCCACAAACTACTTCTACTGTTTTGAAGATATTTAGTATCTTGCTGCAATGCGCAACCGCGAAATGTCATCTTTCTTATTTAGAGAGATATTTTTTTTAAATTTTATCCATGCTTCTACAAAGGTAACCCATATTGGATACTGTAAAAATCAGATCTGTGCATGCGCAGATTGCGCGATGTGCATTTTCTTATTTATAGAGACGTTTTTTGAGGTTTTAATATGCTATTGTGCTTTATTGGTGTAGTTGTTTAACTTTTGCGAGTTATTTTTTATTTTATTTTTTTATTTTTTTGCATTATTAAGGATTCTCAGAACCTTTATAGTTTTGTATTATCGACGTCCGTCTGTCCGTGTGCGCTCTAACTCTTTTTAAAGGTGACCGATAGTGTTGAAATTTGGTGTACGGGTACTTTGGACATTAATTACGGACGCTATTGATTTTCAGGAAGCTGGTTCGACAAGAACAAATGTTATAGGACTTCGATTGAATCGGGAACACGAAAAACTGCGGGCTCAATATAACAGAAATCAACATATTTCATTCCCTAGTCATGTATCGAGTTCGCTAGATCATTCCCTGTAACTCTTAAATGTGTAACAATTGAATATCACTCTTCTCTATGATCTAGGTCAAAAGTTTTAGAGCAAAATGTATCCAAAATTATTCTTTACACATGAATTTGGAGTTGTAAAAGCTTTCAAACGCATTATCTTGATGCTGAAAGAATACATCACGTGTACATTTGATAACCCGCGCATGTGATTTAAAGATGATAAATTATTTTGCCACATGGATTTTGATCAAAATATGTGAAAATCGTTATTCCTGCACTGAGATCGTTGGGAACAAAATTAATAGCATTATCTCAATGCCCAAGACATGAATTTGATGCATTTTTGTTAACTCAGAAATGTATTTTGTAAGATTAAAATAAATTGTCGTTAAAAGTGATTGTAATACTGAGGATCCTTCGATATTTCGTTGTATCGGTTTATTTAGTTACCTAATGCACTGGGTAGCGCTAAAAACCATATGAATAGCCCTATACCTTTGAATATTTTATATTCAAAGCCTAAACGAAGTAATCAAACAAAGATGTTGAATCTAGAAATAATTTTCTTCGCCGAGTAGGGCATTTTTTTCACTCCTAGTTCGGACATTGTCAAATATAAATAATGCGTTATGGGAGAAAGTTCGAATTCTCGTTCTCACGGTTACTTTCAATACCTAAGAATTATAAAAGGACTTTTCAGGTAAGGCAGCTATATGCATAAACATTTGATTTAGGTACATACACTACTATATGATAATTGGAAAAAAAGTACTGTTTTTCATAATATAATACCCGATGATATTCTCTCTGTTATAAATATACCGATAGGTACTTTATTTAGGGCATCTCATAATAACTCAAAACGTGGATTACTGATTGAGATAGCTTTCTTCGATCGTCTGCTGCACTTTCTTATTTTTGTGTATTCGTTCTCAGGAGGGCTTGCAATCTGAATTTAGGTTAGTGCAATAGATAAGCTTCTTTTTAGGACTTGTGCTGAATGCAGAGAGTACGTTGAATTATGTTAAAATGACCACAAAGAAAGAAAACATGTTGGTGGTATACATTGGTACAATAAACTGGGTTAAAGGTTTAATTGAAATTTAGGACTAAATTTTATGAAACAACGATGAACGTTTAGGTGTTTATATTTGCTATTTAAGTTTCCTAAAATCCCATGATAAGTTTTTAATGCTTTGATGTTAGGTATCAATTTAAAAACACATAGATCTATTTGCTTAATGATTTGATGTAACTAAAGAATTAATGGACGAATAAAACAGTTTTGGACTCTAATGCCAGTTCCTGTTTTTCCTTTTGCCACCATCTCGGATGATTATGTACAGGTACAGGGAAACGTTCTAGAATTAACTTTTGATACATAGATATTATGTCACCTCAGCTTCCGTTGTATAGCTCTTCTCTCATTGCATTTCAGGTATTCGAACTTGCCGGGAATTATAAAATCGTTAGCATGTTATAATCGCAACTGCAATAGAAACTCGTTTGTCAGTTATAGAAAAAAACTGAAATTTATTTTTCTTTTATTCTAGGTTACATCATTCTCACGCTCTTCAGCCTCCTCACATGTGTCGGTCTGTTAGTGTTACTGTTCATGCAACCGAAGCCGGGGAGCCCCTTTGCGGATATGACTTCCGGTGCCGTTTGCGGAATATCTGTTTTATCTTTAATCTTGGCGAGTGCCGGCGTTATGGCTAGTTACTGCTGCAAATTGCCACCGCCGGACAACAGAGTTGAGCACTGCGCTAGAGGATTTACAGTATAAGTGTGTTAACTGGGTTGCCTACTGCCAATGCAGGTAAATCTCGAGGGTGAAATCGATATATCATGTAAAAAATAATAATTGTAACTTGGGATGAATCTTAATTTAGTTAGAATGTAGTATTAATACAGCTATGCTACCAAAAAATTAAAATAAATTTCAATGCTTAGTTTTTCTAATTTGGTAATTTAATTATCTTGTAATTTACAAATAAGAGCCAAAGAAACAGAAATGTGTAACAAATTGAAAGTGTACCTTATAATATTTTTTATAAAAAACTAAAGTATTATAGTATAGTAAATAGTATAATTTAAGGATCTTTATAATTTATTTATTATAACGTATTTAATTAATCTACAACCATTACCTACTTAGTTGATAGTTCTAACTTTAGCCTAACTATACTTAAGTTTGAAAATTGTGATAAATGTACATATAAAGGTGGTTAGTGATATTAATAAAGAAAATCAGACACACAAAAATCATCCTCGTGAACAAGCGAATACCACCCTGCCAGATGTAGGTGGTACTTCTAAGGTAAGTTGATCTAATGAGACCTTTTGGGATGGTACCCTACATGTTCAATATAACATTGCTCCCAATAGGTCATGCTAGGGCCATTGAACAAATAACACAATTTAGGTACCTATTAAATGCCAGACCTGGAAATAATTATCGATAATTAAAGCCCTATATCTATACTATCGATAATTACCGATATTTAGATTTTTGATACCTACAGGGCGACCTTTTTTTATGAAGTACTAGAATTTGGGAAAGTATAAGACGTTAAATGGGAAAATATTTCCCGTTTTATATGTCTCACTCAGCACATCCTTTTCTTTTTTCTAAAAACTCTGTATACGAATAATCACAAATCATCGATATACTGACAAATGATAATCATTGATATATCGATTTATCATCATTATCGAGATTTCATCATCGTTGGTTTATTATTAGCCTGCAATGGTGCGTTAATTTAAACCTGCAAAACTGCTTTGTAAGGGTAAGTACTGCTTACGTACCTATATTCTACCTTTCACGAACAGATATAATTGTGAAATGTTACATGTTTCGATTGTTAATCATCTTCAGGTAACAAACTAAAATATTTAAAGTTAAACCGTTGACTCGATAGCTATTGAAACCACTTACTTATAATTACGGTGCGTGAGAAAATTACACTATTGAAAAGTTGTTGAAGTCTTGACGTTAACATATCGGGAAATTTTTTGTTAATTTTTTCACAAACCGCGTCTAGAAATTACCGAAAACAACGTGTGATATATTTAATTGCAAAATAACTCAAAGCAGTGTGTGATACTTCCGAAAGGAGCTCTTGCCTTCTAAAGAGGAAAGAACAGAAAGGCCATTTGATTTATTTCAAACCGAATGCGGTCAAATTTCAAGTTTAAATGCAAATTTTACAAATGAAATCTTACTCCGTAAAATTATTGTTGTGTACAAATACTTACTGAAAGACCTTACAGTTAGTGTTTATATATGAAAACCATTAACCGAACACTATGCTCACTGAAATGTGACTATGTAACGCTAATCAGACAGGTGGTTCAACTGAACCGATAAGTCTTAAGTGGAATATCTTTTACCATTAAATTACCTATAAGGTATATTTCTCATTGTGAAGAGCGTCACGCTGCTAAACATTCTTCAATTAGTATACTAATTTATCCCAATTAAGGACCACTTTTGTTTTGGTACATAAATCTAAAGTGTGGTCATTTATGGATGGTTATGCATGTGGAAATAGACACCGTTACAGTGAAAAATCTAGCATGGTTGGTGCAATTGGTCAGGTTGGGGCAGCCAAAATGAAAATCACATAAGTAGGTGTAATACTGTTACCCTTTTACATATTTCCTATACCCTGAGATAATGCATTAACACTTGCGTGGTGCAGAGTTTTCTGGAATTTACTGCAAACTTAAGTGTGTTTTTTACTTGAATGCTTACAGTGGAAGTAACAACTGTGCAGAATTAGAGAATAGGTGGAATCTAAGAAAGTTTTTTATTACTAAGGGCTTTGAATATTTTATATTCAAAGCTAAGGGTTATGTCAATGGTACCTGAATATTGTAAGAAGGCATTTATTTTTTTCATTTTGCGATCCGTGCGTAAAGTAGGTACCTATCTTCCATAATATATAGATGTATGAAGTGCGAGTACCGATATCGAATTTAAATTAAAAAATCCCTTCCGTATTTTACAGTCAACGCTAAACTGCATGTCGCACTTAGGATAGTAGAAAATCGATCTTGGTAATTTATACCCAGTAGGTAACTAAACTACTGTTCAGTACAAATAGAATTGATCCCCGTACCTACCTAAATGGATCACTACCTCTTAGTTATTTAAAAATAATTGTCGTTTTTTGTTTCCAATGCTCAATCAACAATGACAACAATTTAACAAAGTATGTCCCTTCTCTGGTTCTTTCGATATGCATAGCACTATTTGTAAAAATAAGTATGGTTTTTAAATAAACTTGAAAGTTCCCCTTCTCTTTTTAATAGCTGTTCTTTGATACATTACTTTCTGGGGTAGGTACATAATCCACACAACTTCTTGATTTCCGACAATTAATAATATCAAAAAAGTAAATCAGATTGATTTTATAGCAATAGATATAAGGTGTTGCTTTGAAATACTTGTGAACCTTTTTAAAATGCGTTTACTAGATGACAAATGTAGTCCAAGGTATATAATATTTTTTTACAAAAAAAAATTAGTTACCGGACGAAACCGGGTTTTTCAGGCAGGTGAAATGAATAGAAATTGGGAAAAAATACTTACATACCTACAGCTGAATTTTTCCGCGAGCGAAATCCTGGAGGTTGAAAGCGGTGGAAAGTGGTGTTTTGCAAATTGTGGCAAAACTATTAATTTTCGGCGAAAATGTTAAATGTAAAAGTTATAGAGATTAAAAAATGAGCAACTTTTGTCTCTGCACTATTTACACATAACCTCCAATTTCCCTAGGACACCCGGAAAACTTTTTTTTCGTCTTCGTGTTATTTTTGCGAAAAAAGTCGTAGGGGTTTGAAATTTGGAGGAAACAGCGTGTTTTATGATAAAAAAGAAGACAATTTTTTGGGCCCGTAAAGTTGAACCGTTTCCAAGATCTCACGATTTCTGAAAAAAACCACCTCTTTTTCAAGGAGATGAAAAATCTATTTTTTTCATCGTACAGAGGTGCGCGGGGTAGCAAAATTTTCGGGAAGCGTTATATTTTAATAAACAAAAATAAAAAAATATTCCTATACCAAAAATTCGAGAAAATGGCCAAAAACTGCAAAAACAGTTTTAAGATATACACGGTTTTTGACATAATAAATCAACATGTTGGATGTTAATAAGATTTTTTCGAAACCTGTCTTCTTGCTTCTTTTTAATGTTTGCTTAAATGTTCTCTTTTGTTATCTTATGTTCTGTTTTAGTTAAAACATCTTTATTATTTCTTTGTTCTGCATTTTTACCGCAATAAAAGCAATTCGAAATAAAATCGGATTATCGTAGCTTCCTGATTCCTGAACAATTTCTTTTTGTTCGCTGACTTCTTCCTGCCTGTTTTATAGCTGATGCAATTGCGTTGGGTCTGTTGATAAGCTTGCAAAATCTGCAATAAGAACGTTAGTTTTACCGGCCAAAGCAATTGATTTGAGATTGAGATGTAAAACCTGGAATAAACTTTATGAGGATTTTATGCATAATTCCTGTAAATTAACGATCAACAGGCCCAGCTTAATCTCATCAGCTGTAAAACAGGCAGGAAGAAGAGTTAGTGAACAAAAACAAATTGTTCAGGATGCAAAAGGATTCGATTTTACTTCGAATTGCTTTTATTGCGGTAAAAATGCAGAAAAAAGGAATTAATAAACATGTTTTAATTAAGGTAGTTGGGCACTGGGAAACACAAGAAAATATTTTAGCAATATTAAAGAGGAAAGAGAAGACAGATTTCAAAAACTTTTTACTAGCGCGGATTCAATACGTTAATTTAGTTGCAAAAAAAGCTATTTACCTACTGTCAAAAACGGTATATCTTAAAACTGTTCCCTAGTTTTTACCGTTTTTCTTAAAATGTTTCTAGTAGAATAATATTTTTTATTTTTTCTATTAAAATGTAAGTCTTTACGAAAATTTTGCTACCCCGCGCACGTCTGCACGATGAAAAAAATAGATTTTTCATCCCCTTGAAGAAGAGGTGGTTTTTTTTAGAAATCGCAAAAATAAGAATAAAAATTGAAAAAAAAGGTTTTTCCCATTTTTCTACGAAAATTGGAGGTTATGTGTGCAGATACACAAGTTGTTCATTTTTTATTCTCTATAAATTTTATATTGAACATTTTCGTCTAATATTAATAGTTTTCCCACAATTTACAAAACACCACTTTCCACCCCTTTCAACCACCGGGATTTCGCCCGCGGAAAAATTCAGCTGTTTTAATTATTTTTTCCCAATTTCTATAAATTTCACTTGCCTGAAAAACCCGGTTTCGTCCGGTAACTAATTTTTTTTGAAAATAAATTATTTTAGAGCTATTTAGCCTGGACTAATATAAGAAAATTCGTTAAGCCGCTTGGGAGCAAGAGGCGAAGAGTGTACTTTCAAATTTGTTTTTTCCATTTTAATAACCTTCAGCAACATTAGTTTTTTCGAGGGCTGTCCAGGCTAAAATATTCTGAAGGTAATTTTTCTGCGATAGGAGACGCTCTACAATAATTGTTATGCACTCAATTATTGAGTGCATAACAGCGGATTTTCTTCTCTGGAGTCGAGTCGAGCTTAAATAATTTTTTGGAAAAATATGTGGTTGAATCACGTGTGTTTATTTCACGTGAGTACCATGAATGTGATCTCAAAATTAACTATGCACTATGCATTATTTTAATCATTATGCAAATATTTATTCAACTTGCTTTGCATATCATGTGGGAATTGGTAATTTGCGTTCCTAAAGAGCTATGTGGAAACATAATTGCCTACAGGCGACACGTGACTTTATTTGTGTGCCTGTCGTTAATGTACAAATTATTTCATTCATTTTGCGAATGGGAAAATGAAATGTGGGCACACCTACTGCTGATTACCCATACTAAGTGAATCAAAGGTGTCACTCGCTGGCTACAACTTTTGCAACGAGAATGAGATAGGTACCGTCATGCACTACAATTAATTTGAGTATTGAAAACTGCGATGATTTTATTTATTCCGTATGGTATTGCAACTTGATGAAGTAGTTTAGGTATTTAACTTTTAAGCTATGAAAATTCGGCCCTCTTACATAAATTGCTGCCTCGAAATATTTACTCCCAAATCCTCCGAAAACTGACCCATGCCTGAAGGAAGATTGTCTTCAACGCTCGAGCGCAAGTTCTAGTGAGTGAACTTTTTGCTTTCTCTACCAGCTCGGTCGATTGG